TGACTGAACAGTGAGACGACTGGTCACTATGAATCACACTGACCACCAGGGGGCAGACGCTCAATGCAGTAGCTGCCTCCTGGTAGTCAGTGCCTCTCCTGCCTCAGCTGCAGGTAGACAGTAAGGTGTGAGGGGACCTGAACTATGAGAGGGCTGTCTGACTGCTGGCTTAGGCCTGATCCCCCCTGACCCTAGGCTGGCAGGCAGACATCCCCCAAGGGGTCCCGGACTGTGAGAGGGTGCAGGCCGAGCTAAGGGACCCCTCCCCCACCAATGAATGAATGTCATGCATGGAGCCTCTAGTATATTACTAAAATAAATTTTATTAACAGAGTGATATATTACTGTTGATTTTACCCATTTTCCCTTTTTTAATGTGGCTACTGAAAATTTTAAATGATGTATGTGGCTTGCTGCATATTTCCATAGAACCATGCTGGAAGTATTTCTTCCAGCCGAATAAGAAATAAGATTAAGTCCAGTTGATGTTGCTCAGAGGATGAGCATTGACCTATGAACCAAGAGGTCATGGTTCAATTCCTGGTCAGGGCACATACCTGGGTTTCAGGTTTGATCCCCAGTGTGGGGCCTGCAGGAGGCAGCCGATCAATAATTCTCTCTCAACATTGATGTTTCCATCTCTCTCTCATCCTCTCTGAAATCAATAAACATATATTAAAAACATAAAGAAATAAGATGGAGACCCTCCACATGGTTAGGTGTTAGTGGCCCTAGACAGCTCTTACCTCTCCCAGATGTTTCTATCTTAAGACCCAGGTGGTTGTCGGGCCTGATTTTGCAGTAGGGTCACCTTGAAGTTTTAGTAACAATGGCAGCCTGGTGCCATCTGCAGAGATGTTGATGGTCTGGGCAGCCTGGGCCTCAAGAGCTTTAAAAACCTGTAGGTGACTTGAAGCATTAGCAGAGCTGAGAACTGGATCCAACTAGGAGCAGTGGACTCAGTCCTGGTGACGGGCAGGTGGGAGTGTTTGCATTGGGGCCTGGCTCAAGTTTTGCATCTCTGGTTGAAATTAGAGAAACAGGTTGTGAAAAGGACGTGGCAAGTCAGAGCCCTGCTTTTGGCAAAGAGCCTCGTAATGGCTCTCTTAGTGTGAGGGAAACTGCTCTCCAGAGTCAGGGGGAGAAGTGAGGGAGAGGGAAGGGATGGAACTACATGAGGGGAAAGGAAAGTCACAGCCAAAAACTGCCTCCGTATGAGGCGCGATTTCCCCCAGGAAACCAAGGGCTGGCTACAGAGGTCAAACCACCCCCAGGCCCTCACCCTGCGGCAGGCTAAGAGGCAGACCTGGAGGAAATCCGCAGCCTTCCTGAGCCTGGCCCTGGCCACCCCTGGTCAGAGGTCCCCTTCGCCCTCCAGGCTGAATACCGAGGGCCGATGGCAGTGGTTCTAGAGCATTTAGTCAAAGGACATCTCAGATTCATGTATCTGATGAATGTCTGTTATGTGGAATCTCAGAATGCAGGCAAAGCCCGCTTAGGAATGTTAGTTTCTCAGAATAAAGGAAGAAGCTATTCCCATTCCTCCAACTGCCGCACTTGGACCAGAACTTGTGCACAGACTCCCCCCCGCAGAGCTGCGGTCTCAGAGCCCAACTTGGCTATCTATCACTTTATTCAAAAGCAGACTTTTCTGAGTAATTTCAATGTTCGAGGTCTTTCCTGGCAAAGTCAGTGTTAATGTGGCAAACGCTGTGTCAACTGCCGACGGTCCTCAGATACTGGAGAAAAACAGGTCCTTCTCAAACAAGAACCTCTGCTCAGAGGCAAAACGCTACTTTCCTTCTCCCTCCTTCCATATCTTCAAATCTGTTTTTAATTTTGCAATGTGAGTTTTTTCAGATCCCCTACTTGATCAGGGCTAAGTAAGTGAGCAACAGGTGTGGTCTCAAATATGATCTGAAAGACTTTTTTTTTTTTTTTTTTTTTTTTTTTAAGGGTTTTACTATCAGATACTGCCAGATGATTAAAATACCTGTGTCCCAGGTACTGACACATTTCTCTCAGACTTTGGGGGAGTACCCAGGCCATGTGGCTAATAATCTCTCATTCAAAGTCACTGGAGGTGAGAACTGGCCAGCGACTTCAGGCGCATTTATGAATGGAAGCATTCATGGCTGGGCTTCCTGCCTCTTGTGTTTTCTTATAGATCGCAAGTTGTAACTTTCACATGACATAAACCACATTCACAGTTTCTATTTCTATATGTGTCCCCACAGGGGGATCCTTGGCAGTGCATGCAATATTAAAAAAATAAAATAAAAAAATCCTTTCCTCTGGCCGGCATTCAACTTTTAGAACACATTTTTAGATCTGGAAATGCATTCTCCTCTCTGTCCACCAGCATGTATATTTTTACTCTCCTTTCTATTCCTTCCAAACTTCCAAAATCTGTTTCCTGACGATTTGAAGAACTGAGAAATGTCTGCGTGGGGGGAAAAAGCGAAGACACATGTGATGTTGTAATTTTAGCAGGAAATACTGCCCAATGGCAACACCAGGCGCGGTCTTGTGATGCTTCCTTTTGCTCACACCAACGTTTCCTATTTGGATCCCCCTGGCCTCTCACTAAAGGCTGCTGAGACTGCCTCCCATTCAGACGTCGTGACTTGCTTTAAGTCGGCAGAGTATGGATTTCTAAGGACAAGAGCACCTCGGTGACCTTAACCCGGAGGGTGGGGAGCACCACTCGGTGGGTTGACGGTCATTTTTTATTCTCTGTAAATGCAAAGAGTTGAAGTACTCACTCATCCTACTGGGTTAGATTTGCTTGGACATAGGACTTACCAAGCACTTCTAATGGTTAGGCAAGACTCCAAGCACTGGGAATATAGCAGCAAAGAAGACCAAGCCTCTGCCCAGATTTTGCAAGAGCACCAAACGCTCAGCCAGGGCACCTCAGAAGTTGCCAAACAATGGGCAGGTGGTCTATGGGGCCAGTTTGACGAACTGTGATTGTCCTCTAGGTCCAACCACGCCCATCACTATGTAGGTAACACTGAAAATCCTTTCTGCTTAGAGCACCCTTTTCCTTCTGCTCCTTGGTTTTTGCCTCATGTCAGTACATAAGCTGCTGAACAGGTAAAGTCTTCTGCTTCCTCTCTGCAGATTATCTAAACCACAAACAGCAGCGTGGGTTTCTGATTGGCATCCCAGGATGTGGCGCGCGATCACATTCTGCTTCTCAAAGAAAAACAGGCAACAAAAGAATATTTCAAAATTATTTTCACACATGATTATCGTACAGTATTACAATGTATTATGTGCAAAATTCCATTTTTAAAAAATCATTTACAAAAGGAAGTATAACACAGCATGTGCTGTGGGTTTTGGGCGTATCAAAAAGCTAACAAAGGAACAAGGTACAAAGCCAACCAGGTCAGATGCCCACGCATCTCTGCACAGAACAGTAACGTGTTTTTGCAGCTCCCTGTGCTACGTGGATAGACGACCCTCATACTTTGAGCACCACCTTCCACTCCAACCAGGTTTCACAGAACATGACTTTACTTCGCCACGCATTCTTACAATGCAGATGGCCTTTGTGTGCATTTGCAAACTCTTTTCCAAACAGCATCTTACTTAACCTCCGTGAATGCCATCGTACACATGACTTGGTCTTTGCCCCAAACCATTCAATGCTGCTAATTTTGACTTACGTGGAAAAGGGAAATAACAGTGTTATCTTTATTTTTTTTTCTTTCCTCGTGGAGCTTTCAAAATTGTTTCCAAAGGCAAATAACATAAAAAACGTTGCCAAATCTCTCTATTTATGGTATCTCAGCATAGGTGGCTCTTCCATCCTCTTTTCTCACTTCCTTCAAGGAGCCTGAACCAGCAGGCTCACGCCTCAGTCCTTTGTTAGAGTCTGTGTTTCTCTCTCGACCTCTCTCTCTACATCCTTGTCTCTCCTGATCCTCAGCATCACTTGGTTAAAACGCAAAAACAGACACAATCTCCTGGAGCGTGAACAAGGGAACAGTACATCAGATTTCCGACGGCATTCTGCAGCCAGTGTCAGGAACACACCGCCCTACAAAACCCAGCAGCCTCTCCCCACAGAGCTGCCGTGACATCCAGTTACAGAGGAGGGGCTTACACAATGCAATGACTCTCAAATCCAGCAAGAGATTTCTTTTGGAATATTAAATGTTAAAATCACATGCATCATTATAGAATATCTTAAAGTTACAAAAATAGTTTAAAAACCAATCCTGACAGTTTACCTGCAACTGCTATAAAATTTCTATGAAATATATATAAAAACAAAACACAAAGGCTCTTTGTAAAATAAAACAAAAACAAAAAAAACAAGAAAGAATAGAGCCGAAACCTGTTTGGCTCAGCGGTAAGAGCGTTGGTCTGCGGACTGAAAGGTCCCAGGTTCGATTCCGGTCAAGGGCATGTACATTGGTTGCAGGCACATCAGGGGATGTGCAAGAGGCAGCTGGTCGATGTTGATCTCTCATCGACGTTTCTAGCTTTCTATCTCTCCCTTCCTCTCTGTAAAAAAAAAAAAAAAATCAATAAAATATATTAAAAAAAAAAAAAAAGAATACGAAAAAAGAATGAAAGGAGGAAGCCATCCACAGAACTGAGAAGTACTTGATGCACTGCATCAGCCAGTCCTGTCAGACACCTGCTGCTGAATGAATTCAAGAGAAGAGCTACAAACCTTACATGTTTATTAAACACATGCACATGTCTGTGAGCCTGGTTGTGGATAGGCAGCAAACACTTTTAGGACATTGAGACCATCCAATTCAACTCCCCATCTCTGAGGGAGAGAAGCCTCCAGTTTCACAAACCTCAGCTACCTGGCTTGGGCAACATGGCTAAAGACGCCCTTGGTCTAATCTGCCCGTGGATGGCTTAGTCCCTAAACCAAAAGGGTCTCCACGGAGGTGCCTGCTTTTCCAGCACAAGCACGGGGAAGGCACTCGGAGGGCGAGGTTCCCAACCACTGGAGCGTCCTGCGTCTCCTAAGAGATGGTGAGATCTTCCTCCCCGTTCTGGAATGTGATGCCGTAAGGGTCGTTCTGGATGCGCTTGTAGACAAAGTGGAAGATGTGGGGCTGGGGCCGGCTGTGCAGCTCGGCCTTGATTTTCTGAGGGTAGGTGTCCTCTGCCAGCTGCTGCCACGTCTCGTCGACGAAGAGGAAGAGTCTGTACTCCTCGGGGTCCCCCACCTTGAACTTCTCGGCGCACAGCTGGCACACGTCCTCGGTGGTGACATACGGCCGCACCAGGAGCGTCTTTCCCGTGCAGCCACTGTTGACCTCTTGGAAGGCAACTCGGAGGTAATTCTGCAGGTGGGAAGAGAGAGAGAGAGGTGGGGGTGAGGGGAGCGGGTGAGAAGGGGGAAATGAGCAGCCATAAGTGAGCGTGATGAGCTGCGAGGGAGCAGTCTATCTTGCAAGCCACTCCTCACGCCAGGCTCCGGCTCCTCCAGATCATGCCAGGATGTGAGGAGGCCAAGTGCACACACAGAGGCCGAGCTATATGTGGGCAGTGGGGGAGCCACAATGTGGACCGAGTGGTTGTAGTTTAATTCCTTACACACATAAGGAGCAGGAAGTTCACCGAGCTGGTCTGATCCCTGAGTGTCCTTCATGAACCCTGGGCAAGCAATCCCTGGTGAAGGGGGTGAGCCAGACCCGATACTGGGTGAATCCCCAGCTTGAAAAACAAACCAGGCGCAAGAGCCCGGGGCAGGAGTCCGCAGGAAGAGACGTGTGACATACGTGGACACAAGAGCACACGTACAACTTGTTTTGGACGACTTTTCATGAGGGCAATGATGATAGGTTGAACCATGGGATACTGACAGTATCTGACCATTTTACCTCCCCGTATGGCGATGGCTTGTGTTCAATTTAGTACAATGGCTCTCGGTGCAACATGGAAAAAGCCAGCAGGAGGAAAACGTCCATGCTCCCAAAAGGCTTTGGAGATGGAGCTGAGTGCAGAGCGGTTGTGGGAGAGGTTTGTGCGTGGGGCTCTGTGAACAGGGCCAGGTGCATGCCATCACAACATACAGCACACCTCCCATGTCACAGACGCAGAGCCCTGATGGGGCGGAAAGAATCCTGCATGCACAGCAGGCCCTCTGAGATTCCGTGACTCTGAACAACTTCCTCCGAGTCCTCTTCTTTAGGAATGGGGTTCCCAGATGAAATTGTTTTCTCGGGCTTAAAAAAATTTCCCTTTCTAAACTTTCTCAGGGGTGAAGGGAAGTGGTGCTTGCTCTTTAGGGTCTCCATGGTTACCAGGAGGGCTCATTGGGATGTTGGAAGGGCTAGCTCCACCAGGGGGAGGGACTGTGCGCTCTGCACTGGTAATGGACACACTGGAATCAGAACCTCGGCCAACACACAGCCTCCATATTACCAACCCCCTCCTGTCCCATCTCCACCCTGACACCCAGCCCACATAGCTGGTATCCATTTACTCTCTGAGTCTGGAAGAGGACTTGGTCAAAGTTTATGTTTTTTGCATTTGACTAGTGAAGAAGCTGAGGCACAGAGAGGCTGAGCAACTTGTCCAAGGCCACACAGCCCATGAGTGCCAGAGTCGGCATCTTCACCACTGTTGCGTGCTGCTTCTCTGGTGAGGAGACTTGTGTGTGTTTCTGTGACCCCTGATTTAGGAGTTCCAAGTGTCTCTGTTTTTGTTTTTACATCCAAACTAAGTGCTAATAATTCCCGTCTTGGTTATATGTTGTTGTTGTTTTGTGTGTGTGTGTGTGTGTGTGTGTGTGTGTGTGTTTGTGTTTTTAAAAAAATATATATTTTATTGATTTTTTACAGAGAGGAAGAGAGAAGGATAGAGAGTGAGAAACATTGATGAGAAAGAATCATCGACCAGCTGCCTCCTGCATACCCCCACTGGGGATGTGCCCGCAACCAAGGTACATGCCCTTGACTGGAACCGAACCCGGGACCCTTCAGTCTGCAGGCAGACGCTCTATTCACTGAGCCAAACCGGTTTCGGCTTGGTTATATGTTAAGGTGCTCCACCTCCTGGGTAAGCAGGGCCAGTGGAGGGAGTGTGAAGAGGGAAGGGGGCCCTGTGGCTGCTGACGATCTCCAGGTTAGAAATTCTAGCTGGAGAGAGGGGGCAGGAGGGTGGCTGGTGGCAGGTAGGGAGATGGATGAATGAGCTTTTCTTATTTCTTCTGTTCCTCTCCTCAGAGGGTGGGCAGTCTTAGCAGCCCCCTCCCGGGACAGGCAGCCACAGTATCCTAAGGGCCTGTATATGCAAAGCCACTTAACACATGGACAGCTCTTCAACAGCCCAAGGGGCAGGGGAACACGGTATGCGTTCTTGCTTTTTATTCATTTTTATTTTTTAATAGATTTTATTAATTTTTTGCAGAGGAAGGGAGAGGGATAGAGAGTTAGAAACATCGATCAGCTGCCTCCTGCATACCCCCTATTGGGGATGTGCCCAAAGCCAAGGCACATGCCCTTGACTAGAAATCGAACCTGGGAACCTTCACTGAGCCAAACCGGTTAGGGCTGTTCCTGCTTTTTAGATGGAATTTCTAAGAACAAGAGGGAATTTCTGAGAACACAAGAGGGAATTTCTGAGAACACTGCTACCTTAGAGAAGAACTTGAAGATCTTGCCTTTCCATGAAGGGCTTCCTTTGTGCCACATGAACCTTTAAGTATTTTCAGAAAAGGAAAGGAAGGCGAATCTGAATGCGGACATGGACAAATCTGTCCTGCTTAAAAGTCCACCACATGGCACAGAGAAACAAAGCACAGTTGAGTTTTATAATATGACTTGGAATTTGCAAAATATGATTCAAACACACTTGCAGACTGACTCGTAATTTCATAGACAATGAGCAAATCAAGGGCTGTTGTGCCCGGTCAAGTTTTCTGGCTCCCTAATCTGCCTCTCTTCTCTCAGAAACAAGTTCTTTGGGAATCTCACATTCCTGGGCACCTGCTCATAGTCATGGAATATTCCAGACAGAGACCCAAGCAGCACCTGACCGGCTGCCAGAGCTGATGCTGCCAGAGGGATTCTGGTGTCTTCCTTTCTGCGGGGGGATGGGTGGAGAAAGAGGAAGGGGAGAAGGGAAGGCATTACTACCCTCCCCCCTACACCCTCAGGTGGGCTCAATCAGTTTTTTTTTAAAATTAATATGTTTTTATTAATTTTTAGAGAAAGAGAGGAAGGAAGAGGGATAGAGAAATAGACACATCAATGATGAGAGAGAAACATCATTGATTGGCTGCCTCCTACACGCCCCCTACTGGGGATGGAGCCTGCAACCTGGGCATGTGTCCTAACCGGAATCTAACCATGACCACTTGGTTCCTGGGTCAACACTCAACCACTGTGCCACACCGGCTGGGCAAATTTTTATTTACTGATTTTAGAGAGAGGGAGAGCGAGAGAAAGAGAGAAAGAGAAAGAAAGACAGGGAAAGACATTGATTTGTTTCCCCACTTATTTATGCATTCATTGGTTGCTTCTTATATGTGCCCTGACTGGGGATCGAACCCGAAAACCTTGCCATGTTGGGACGATGCTCCAACCAACTGAGCTACCCGGCCAGGGCTCCTCTCAATCTTCTGATGAAATAAAAAACCTGCCACCTGTGCTGGAGAGCTTCCTCCTTGATTTCCTGTCTGCTTAGGGCTCAGTATTCATGCTGCACATTCTGCTAGAAATCCCGCCCCAATTTGACTTTGTTTTCTTAAGGGCAGCAAAACTTGGGCCAAACCCCATATATATATATTTTATTATTATTATTATTATAAGCAAAACAGAGAAGTGAAACAACAGGGTCAGAGGGTGGTTTAAAATATCTCTTCCGCCGGATGATCTGACAAAAGAGGGACCTCAGGAGCCCTGAGCTCGGCGTGCCCGGGAAGCCAGCTCAGCCGTGGCGGCGGCGGACAAAGGAAGCAGACCCCCCGCCCCTCGCCTCATCACCATCGCTGGCCACGCACCTGAAAGTCGTCCACGGAAGGGATGGTCCTGTTGGTGGTTCTCCGTTTGTGCCACTGCCTCAGGGTGTCTCTGGTCTCGGAGCTGAGCAGTCTTGCAGCTTGCTCTTCTTGGAAATTCTTTATCAGAGAAAGTGCCCCGTAGGCGCTTGTCAAGTAATAGCCACCTAGAAAGGACAGAAAGGGTGAGTCTCCGAGTGTCCTGCTCTGCTGACGAGTCAGGGGACGTGTAGAGGCTGTGCATTTTCTCCACTTCTCCCACACGCATGCCCTGTGGGACCACGGTAGCACACAGCCAAGAGCATGTTCTTCTCACCTCCGTCTGTCCATTCACGCATCATCCCTCCCACCCCCACGCCCCTGATGTACTGGGTGACCCATCCTGTGCCAGGGATGGGGACGCGGCCGGCCCTGGCTGGTGGCCTTGGCTGACAATGCCCGGTGTTCACTGGTAGGATTCCCATTCCAATGGGCCAGACATACAACAATCTCAGTTATTTAAGTGCAACTGTGAAAATGTTTTGCCAGGAAAGGTCAAGCCTTTGTGTGGGCCTGAGGGAGGTGGGGAGGCTTGTGCAGGTAGGGAGGTCAACTGCTCTGAGGCCAGAATCATTTACTTTGGCAACAGGAGTCTGCATATCTCCTGGCAATACTTTCTGGGGCTTCCTTTTTTTTTTTTTTTTTTTTTTTTTTTTTTTTGTAGGAATTAGTATTTTCTAAATTTTAAATAAAACATATGTTTCGAAAGGACTGCATAATATACAAGTGTGTTCCCAATAATATGGGTTTTTCAAAAGAACTTCTCCCTCCTGACACCCTTCCTTATCCTTACTAAGGTGACACATTTAGGAAAAAAAAATTATTTATAAGGAGAAGCAAGTAATGTCCCTTTTATGGAGCATTTAGGAATGATTTCTTATGCATGGGGAATGTTAAAAGACTACAACACTGTGAGGAACACAGAAATGTGTTCATTGCTTTGTCCTCAACTGTAATTTGGTGCCTCCTGGGGAACTTGCAAGCACTGTGCTCTAGAACCACTAGGGGGCACCCCAAATGCTTATTAAAAATTTCCTAACTGGGCATCCACATTTTGAAAATTATATATGTCAGTAGAGGAACGCTCCACCCTTTCCACTTGCAAAGGGTGAACAGAAAGCCACTATATTTCTCTAGGACATTTACAAAGAGTTTTCTTCACTTAAGAAGAAACTGGCTAAAGTAAATGTCCCTCATTTTAAATTGAGAAACATTCTTTGTCAACACACTATTGAATCAACACACTATTGAATCTCTACAATGAGCCCAACACAGGTACAGAGCAGGGGATGGGTTTTTAGGAAGCAGAGTCTGAGTCTCAGCTCTCCATATGTTTATAAATTTACTAAAATAAATGGACACTGATAGCTTATTCATGCAGGAACCAAAAGTTAGTTGTAGTGAAATCGGTTTTGTGCAGAAGTACCAATTTCATGGCCAAAGAATATTTAGCTGCCAATGCAAGATCCCTAACTATCTCTGTTCAACAAGTGACAACAGTCAAGATGGCAACAGGTTCCCCATCTGAGAAATGAGCCCTGTGAATCTCAGTGGCCAGGCAACTTAAGAAAGAGAACACCTTTGTGGTTTTCAGGTCACTGATGGGAGATTTAGGGGTTATTTTTATTTCTTGTTAACCCTCACCCGGGGATAATTTTTCCATTGATTTTTAGGGAGAGTGAAAGAAAGCAGGGTAAGACACACACAGAGAGAAACATCAATGTGAGAAACACATACTGATCGGTTGCCTCCCATCTGCACCCCGACTGGGGCAGAGGATCGCGCCTGCAACCAAGATATGTGCCCTTGATCGGAATAGAACCCACGACTCTTTAGTCTTCAGGCCGATGCTCTATACACTGAACAAAACCGGCCAGGACTGGGGGTTATTTTTTATGGCTGCATCATCTAGGCCACTTTGAACAAAGCACTTTCCATGTACAGATCACATGTGAGGTTTTTTGTTTAGTTATTTGAACAGTTTCATGCCCCACCAGCTGGGGGTAAGTTCCCCAAGGTAGCTCCACACACTAAAATTCCGAACTGTGAGTAGCTTATTTTTACTAAATATTTGTTCTAAAAACAAATTAGCACATGATGGACCGTGAAATGCAGTAGTAGATTTAAATGCCATAGAATTTCAGGAGAAATCAATATTGACTTAAATATTCAAGAAAGAGGTGTATTAGAGCTGGGACTTGGAGGGACTGTTACAATCAAGTTTTGGAGGGAGGGTGTTTCCTTTCGACATCAAATATTAGACTTCATAGATCCAGAGACAATATAAGCATTGAACAGACTGCCAAACCTCAGAGGGAAGACAGAGGAGGGTGGCAGTGTGTGTGTGAGTGTGTGTGTGTTAGAGGTAAGAGATCAACCAAAGGACTTATATGCATGTATGTAAGCATAACCAATGGACACAGACACTGGGGGTGGGGGGATTGAGGGCATGTGCTAGGGGGTGGGAGCAGCTGGGAGAGGCCAATGGGGGAAAAAAGAAAAAAATATAAATTTTAGACTCCATAGCTGTGATCTGTTCAGGCCACAAGGAGAAAACTCAAAATGCTGGAAGCACAAAACTGACCACACGCTGAAACATGTAAACGCAATTAGAGGAAGGTTTAAGTTTCAGCAAAACCACCATCCCACCACAAGAGCTGTGCACTGCAAAGGGCTCTCTGATGCTTCTCCCGTCAATAGAACTCCCCGCAGAGGCAGCGGAAGAGATGTGGGCTGCTGCCCTGCAAAGCAAAGGGCCTTGGGCTGGCCTCGAGGGCTGGGCCGGCAATGTAGCTCTCTGCTAGGCAGCTTCCTGCTCCCGGCCACATAGCTGCAGTTCACTGACATGCAGGCCTGGTCTGTAACCACAGCCAAGCCAACTGGGCTGCCTGGCTTGCCCACGGGAGGCAGCCAAGAAGCCTGGGACACAGCTCCGTGGAAGCAGGCTCCCGTTAGGCATGAGCTCACAGGCTGCTCTAGACGTCCGCCCGCTGGGCCCTTGTGTCTCTCTCATGTGTGATTCCTGGAGGTGAGGACAGCAACCTGCTCATCTGTCACGGACACAGTGTCCAAGGCAGTGTCTTCCTTTGGGGAAAGGCTGGGAATGGTGGCAGGAATTGGCTGTCTAGATCCTCGGGCCACAAGATGTAAGCACGTGTTTATCCTAAGCTCACGTGGTCAGCAACAAAATGGTAATTTCCTGAGTGAAACTGGCAAGCTCTTTCCCTAAAGTACCAAGAATGTGATATACTCATCACTAGAATTAAACATGATCAGAGCTAAAAACAACAACAAACCTGGATGCACACAACATTACAAAAATGATGCAATCCTATATAATAAAAGCCTAATATGGTAAGTGTCCGGTTGTCCAGTCATTTGTTCAACCAACCACAGCATACTATGCTAATGATATGCTAAAGGCGCTCAACTGCTCGCTATGATATGCACTGACCACCAGGGGGCAGGCAGTCAACCAGTCAATATGACATGCACTGACCACCAGGGAGCAAACACTCCGACTGATAGGTTAGCTAGCTGCTGGGATCTGGTCCATCGGTACTGAGTGAGACAGGTAGGACATGCCCTGGAGCCCTCCTCCGGTCCCTCCTTGGCTGGCCAAGCTCCCATGTCCCTCCCCGGTCTTGATCATGCACCCGTGGTGTCCCTCGGCTTGGCCTGCACCCTCTAGCAATCCGGAACACCGTAGGGATGTCGGAGAGATGGTTTCAGCCTGAATTCATGCACTAGGCCTCCAGTATGTAATAATAATGCAAAATGTGAGAATGATGGCCTGGGTGCTTCTCTTGATGATTGGACAAAACCACTTGCCCCCCATTCCTCCTGTCAAAGCCCACGGCAGAGCAGATAAGGAAAGCTCCAGGCAGGGCCTTGGTGGCTCAGGTTGTGAATGAAAATGAGGGGCAGTAAACAGGCAAGAGGGGAGAGGGATGAAAGAGGCTCATTCATATCTGTCTAGGGTGGAGGGACGGGATAGAAGATATTTTCCCTAATCCTGAGTCAGAACTAGCTCTGGAGGGGTGGGAAGGGTGTATCCTATGGGCTCCTAGGAGGAGGACAGACCTGGTAAGAAAGGCCAACAATAGGGAACTAAGGAACATGTCATGGGGGTGATGATACCACATTTAAGTTCCCTTTGGGGAAAATGCAAGAATGACGCATTCCCTGGGGCATCCTATCAGCCCCAGGACCCTTTTACTCAAGCCTGGACTAAAAGTCACTGGAGAAAAGATGGGGGAAAAAGAAAAAGAAAAAGAAAAAAAAGAATAGGCAACAATTCAGAACTCGGGGACACATGAAAATGGATGAGCCGGATTCACAATGCACTGGCCCTGATTGGTTCTTTAAAAAGACAAGCCTGCAGAAGAGTCCCAGTTATTTCTGTTTTTCATCCAACTTATTTCCATGGCAAAATTCCTAAGGAGTGTGTAAGGAGAGGGAATGTTGGTGTCGGGCAGGCACAAGAAAAAAACTGAACTGCCAAGATAAAGCAAAACAAACTGCTCAGATGCTACTCCACTGTCTTTTTATTTTCACTAAGAGCAGAAATGTTAAAAATTTCTTGTTAACAGACAGCCAGACTATTTTTTTTTAAATAAAAAAAGAAAATCACTGCTGTTTTAATCTTGAACACCGATTTTTTAAAAAAATGATGAAAACCAAATAATAGCAGGACGTTCTTTCAGTGGAGATATTCTCTAGCAAATGTTTACAACTTCATCTGGAAAGCAAAAAAACGATTTCTTTTTTTCAAAATACCACTTATTCTATTGAACAACATTTTTTTTTTAATTGCAATCAACCAATCTCGGTGAAGTGTAATTATGTCAGGGTTACATTTTTTGTGTGTTTTTCTGATGTTTCCAAATTTTCTACAACGACTGTGTATTACTTTTGTTGTTAGAAAAAAGGTCAGCACATTCTTTTAAATTAAAATTAGACCTAACCCTAGGATTTCTAAAAAGCTCCCACGTAGGTGCTTAATACGTACAGGGTTTTATTTGGGGGGTATATATATATCTTTAAAAATTGTTTGAGCCTCACCTGAAGATATGTCTTATTGATTTTTAGAGAGAGAAGAAGGGAGAGAGAGAAACAGCGATTGGTTGCTTCCCATAACCAATCGAACTGGAACCTTTTCATGTACAAGACGATGCTCTGACCAACTGAGCCACAGGGCCAGGGCTATTTTGGGGTACATTTTTGGAGGCTAGATAGAAGTGGTGGACTACACAACATGCGAGTGTACTAAATGGCACTGAACAGTTCACTTGAGAACAGTTGATTTTGTTACGTGAACTTCATCTCAACAGCAAAACCAAAATCTGCCCCTAAGCCCCCAGTTCCCCCCACCCTCCCGAAAGCACGCTACCTTCTCCGTGCAGCAGCGAAGGGTCCAAGAGCTCCATCATGTACTCGATCTCCGTGTCCAGCTCCAGCATGTCGCACTGGGCTATGACATAGGTCAGGACCGGCAGAAAGTCGTCGGCGCCATACATCCTCCCTGGGAGTAGGCGGGAAGGGGGGGACAGGAACATGTTTACCAGCATGCCTTGCTTTCATCCCCTCCTTGCTGCTTTTATTGGGCAGCAGGGAGTCATCCTGGGGCAATGTGCTATTCACAGACCGGGGTGGGCGTTTCTGGAATCCGGTGTCGCCCACAACCCGCCCGGCTGCGCATGCCTCAGACCAGCCCCAGCTCACAACCTCAGCCTGAGCGTCGTCCAGGAGTCAGTGAACAGGGGAGAGCTGTTTTTTCTCCCCACCCCCAGGCGTTACGGCGTCTGGCAACAGGACCCAGTGCTTTCAAGCCACATAACTTTCAGCAAGTAATACCACGAGCCAAATTACAGAGCATCTGCTTACTATGTCACCCCCTGGTGTCCTGTTTCCTACCGCTTCCTGTGCAAGCCAATCCCAAACCTAATGACAGGAGCACATTCAAAGCAGGAACAGAGGCTGCTCTCCGCTCCACACGGGAGCCCACGGCCGATTCATTTAAATGTGTGAATTCAGCATGTGTTGCATAGATCCACACGATTAATAAAAGGCAAAAAAAAAAAAAAAAAATGTTTGAGTCCTATTGCTAGTTTTCATGATAGTGGTGCTTCTCAACAGGGGGTGGGGATGGAGAAGGGGATGTGATTTTACCCCCGGGGGAAATTGGCATTTATCTAGAGACATTTTTAGTGTTGGGACTGGGGGGTGGGGGGTGCAAATGGCATCCAGAGTTTAAACCTACAGGAAGCACACAGACCCTCCCCTCCCTCCCCCACAACCAAGAGTTATCTGGTGAGGATGCCATCAGTGCTGAGGCTGAGAAACTGCTTCAGAAGAACATAACCCTGTGCAGGTGTTTTCTGGGATCTTTGACGTGATTTCATGAGCGACACAAATACATTTTCTACACGTCAAATATGCTGGCAACATTAAGAGGTGATGTACACAGGCTACCATTGCTAGCCCAAGAGCTCATGCACGAACGTCTTTTCCTCAACAATTTGAATGCACGCACATTTTCATCATCACACACAGGGCCTGTGCTTTCTCTCTGCTCCTTCGCCAAGGAGCAGTTTCGCTCAGAGGAAAAGGTGGGAGCCACCCACGGAATTACAACGGGCTCCCCGAAGACCCAGAACCAGGCAGGGCTCCCTCACTGCATATGAGTCACAGCTACGATCTACCAGAGGCAGCACAGGAAGTCCCAGGGCTTACTGCCCATGGCCACTCCTCAGTGAATGCCAAGTACATTGCTTTAGCTTGTGGCAAAGAAGGGAGAGCCAGTGACATGGCTGTCATGAAACACATCATTACCGATTGCCCTATGTTTCTGATACCTGTAGGTCACTAACACAAACCCTCACTGGCCAAAATGTAGTCCTGATCAGCGCTGATATTCCCATTGCACTCGGGGCTATGCAGGCCTTGCCCCACCTAACATGAAGGAAAGGGTCATAGCCAACAATAGGTGCAGACACTGCATCTTAGAAGGCAACGTGAGGCGGCTGAAGTCCCCCGGTTACTGAGCTCATTTGCAAAGCTAGGATTTAAACAGAGACTGCACGTGTATTCGCTATTCTGAGGCATCGCAAATACTTTGTTGCCCTCGTTTGATTATGCTTTTGGTGCTGTTAATCTGTTGCACGTGACTAATTTGCCAGACACTAGCGTAAGGCTTGTATTTTTATGAGCCTCTTGGTGAGAATCACGAGACTGAAAGAGACCTTGGGACTCAGAAAGCTCTGGTCACCGGCCCTGCTGGGAGGTGGCGGCCTCACCTGAGTTGCTCTCCATGACCGTGTAAATCAGCTTGCAGACCCGCAGCAGCAGCATGACCTTCTTTTCCGGCGAATACATCTTCTGCATGGTCATGAATTTGACTTTGATCTTCTCCACGTCCACGATGTCCGGGGTCGGGGCGAAGACGCCCAGCTCCTGGGGGTTCCTCTGCCGCACAAGCTGCAGGTTCTCCTTGAGCTGCTTCCAGGAGCCGTCGGCCACGTGGAAGTCCTTCAGCATGGCCTCCACGTGCCCCTTCAGGGGCTTCAGGATGCACTTGTGCATGGCCTTTTCCAGCACCACATCTGCCAAAGAGAGATGGATGCATGGTTTCCACTGTCTGCAGAAAGAGGACACTCAGCTCTGCTTCCTGGGGGCAGACACCTGCAGCTCCATGCACCCGTTAGAAGGCGGGCACGGTGTAACGTCACACTCACGCAACCCACACAACTTAGCAGCCGCATTTCACTCCACCTTTTCTTCTCAAAAGCCAGGAAGAAAAAAACCTGCCCTAAAAAGTCCCCAGTTTCTATTGCACAATGATCAATGCGCCCTAGCTGGTTTGGCTCAGTGGACAGAGCGTCAGCCTGCGGACTGAAGGGTCCCAGGTTCAATTCCAGTCAAGGGTACATGCTTAGGTTGTGGGTTCGGTTCCCAGTGGGGGGCCTGCAGGAGGCAGCGGATCAATGATTCTCTCTCATCATTGATGTTTCTTTCCTTCTCCCTTCCTCTCTGAAATCAAAAAAACATATATTTTTAAAAAATGATCAATGCAATGAAATATATTTATTTTAACTACTTTTATGCCTCCCCCCCCCCCCCCCCCAAGCACAGGCAAGTGTTTTAGGAGACATTCTTATGACCCAGCTCTTCCAAGGATCTCTGCGTTGACAGGTAAGCAAGTATTATTTTAATGGAGGGATTTTCTAACAAGCAAGGGTTCAAGATCCCTTAAAATGTTTTCTGAGGAAATAAATTAAACTATATACATATGTTATCTTAGATTGGATTCTGGACAAAAAAAAATTCTTTATTTCATTTGTTATGAAGGATATTAGTGGGGCATTAGATTTGAATCAAGCCTGCAGATCAGGTAATACTGTTAACACTGAAGCAGTGTTAATTTTACTGTCATTTTTTAACAGAATGTTTCTGTTTTTAGGAAATACACAAGTAGAGTAAGGACACAATGTGTTAACTATCTCTCAAATGGTCCAGAAAAAAAGGAGAGAGAGAGAGAGAGAGAGAGAGAGAGAGAGAGAGAGAACACACAGAGAGAGGAAGGAGAATGATTTGAATGTGTCATTCTGGGAATCTGGGCAAAGACAAGACATGATTTCTTACTACATTTATGCAACTTTTCTGTAAGTCTTAAATGATCTCAAAATAAAAAGTAAAAGTTTTTGGGGGTGCTTTTGTTTAGAGTTAGGAAACACCTTTAGGTGGGAGACATGATTTCTCTCTCTCCCTCTGAACAGTTGTCCAATGGAGTAGTTTTCTTGGCCGATAGTAAAATGACCTGGACCACACAACCGGGGGTCAGACTGAAGACGATGTCTACAATAATCAGCTCTCTGCTCTTCCCACACCAGCCCTCCAATCTTAAATGTTTGCTTATTCTCATCAAAACTACCTGGGTAGTAATCACACCTAATATCTGACACTTGAATCTGATTTCATTAGGGGCACACGGGTCTGTTTATTTATATGACTGAGAATGTTGAGTTATCTCTCCAGCCTTTGGAATTCCTGACACGGGATCAGATCACATTGAATCCAAATTATCATCTATGGTTAGGAGGCCAAGGACGAAATCTAAGCTGAACACACAACACTGAAAACAATTTCCCACAACCTAAATTAAAGGGATGCCTGTAGTTGATGCTGACCCCACAGTAATTAGCTTCCCCAGCCCAAGTTTTCCTCTGTTCCACTTCCATATCCAGCTCAGGAGATCTGCTTGTTTAAACAAAGAGGTTTGTATAACTATAGAGATTAGGTTGAACCAAAAGAAGTTATAAAGTAAGAAGAAAAATCACACTTTTACTTGACCTTTGTTATTCAAACCATTAGTTGGTCTCCATTGGTTATGTTGTGCTAGTAATGTTATGCAACTTCATCTTTGACCTTACTGTTTTTATTGTGATGAAAAGTCAATAATAGCAATTAACCCTGAGCCCTCAGTTGCTTTATTTCATTAGGTCATCTAATTCTTACAATTCTATTACTTTTAAAAATATATTTATTGATTGATTTCAGAGAGGAAGGGAGAGGGAGAGAGTGATAGAAACACCAATGATGAGAGAGTATCATTAATGGGGGGCCTCCTGCATACCCTCCTCCTTGCCCCCTGCCCCCTTCCACTGGGGACTGAGCCTATAGCCTGGGCATGTGCCCTGACCAGGAATTGAACCATGACTTTCCTGGTTCATAGGTTGATGCTCAATCACTGAGTCATGCCAGCCAGGCACATCCCACGTTTTTGCACAATATTGACATTATAGACATTTTCTAGATGAGAAGACTGATGATTGGAGATGTCTAATGACTGGCTTGAGGCTGCACAACTATTTTAAACAACCAATCCTATTGCTTTTCAAAGTAAATAACCTCTTAATTCTAAAGTTCTTTATGAATAGTCATCAGTTTATTCCTCTCTATCCAAAGGTTCCAAAAGCTACATTCGTGATTGTAAGTGACTCTGTTAGAATGAGGTCACCCAAGGGGGAGGGAAGCCATGCCAGTCATTAACAAGGACTGTACATGAACGTCGATAGAAGCAGCATTTCTAGCAGCCAAAACCTGGAAACGGACCATCCCAACAGGCCCATCCCAACGGATCAGATACAAGGATATGTTTGTACAGGGGGACAATGGAAGATTCATTCCATGAAAAACAGGACACTGCCGCTCCAGATGCAACTGGACATAATGCTGCAGAGAAGGAGCAGACACAAGAGGATCTCCTTTAGCATTTCTTTTATATAAAGTTCAAAAACAGGCAAAAGGAATCTATGAGGACAGAAGGCAGAATGGCACTTATCCCAAGGAATAAATGTGCTGCGGGGAGACCCTTCCAGGGGGTGGAGATGCTCTATATCTGGATCTGGGTGGTGGCTGCATGTGTGCACATGTCAACATAGTCCCAGCTGAGCACTTAAGATATGCACACCCTACGGATGTAAGTTAAATTTCAGTAATGACATATAAGTCAAACAAACAGAAACAGCTGGAGACCAGCCTGGGATTTTCTCCTTGAACCCCAAGGGCAACTGTAAATATCACAGTGAGCCAGGTCATGTCTGGGTCAGAGCACTAACACAAAGGCACTGTCCTCAGTCCCAGTGAGCTGAGCAGGTCCCTGAGCAAGCCTCTGAGCTGTAAACTCCACCCTTACCCGTGGATGGGGCTGTGAAAATCTGTAAGGAGGCTTGAAACCTAGGACCCATTGCCAAGTGCCTGATTGTTTTGAAGCTCAGAATGAAAAACAAATTTCCCAGTGTTAGGATTTTTTTTTTTTTTTTTTTTAGTTCAGTTTTAAAGGCCATTATTTAGAAATAAGACTGCTCTCTTTGCACTGTTATTCAGGACTTTACTCCGAACCCCCACTGCAAGTCCATTATATATATATATATATATATATATATATATATATATATATATATGGAATATTTAACATCCAAGGGACCTGGTACCCAGCTGGCTTTCTCTAATAAGAAAAACAGGTTCAGGAAGAAACAGGGGAAAGTGATTTGAGTAAATAAAAGGAAGAGAAAATCTTTCCGAATGAGGACTAGCTCAGAGAAAACAAACAAGCACCCGAAAGGGTCACATCCTAATATAGAAAGAGCCAGGGTCTGTAAAGTCCAAAATGACCAAACAGATGACTGAATGCCAGTCTGCATATGCAGCAGGTTCAGGTGGGTGGGTACTGGTGAGCGGGCTGAACTGCTGACTTCTTGGTTCCCTCCTTGGTCCCTATGGCGACCCAGCACTGACTGCCACTGTCAAGTCAGGTGCGATGCCATTGGTCGGGGAGGGCCCGCCATTGCCCCACAATTGACCTGCAGAGGGAGGCCCAGGTCACTGGCTAGAGGGCTCTGTGATCACCCCAAAGAGGGAGGCCCAGGCTACCCAGTCAGGGGCTGTGGGCAGAGCCTTCCTCTGCAGGGCAATCAATCATGGGGCTCCCAGACTGAGAGGACAGACTGAAGGACCCCCCATCTCCCCGCTGAGTGCACAAATTTTGTGCACCGGGCCTTTAGTTTCTTATAAATTACAATCTGTGTCCCCAGTGCTCATCCTTAAGGGGAATGGTACAGAGAATGGCAGTTCCTTGAATGCTCCTGGCTTTAAGAGACCTGATGTGGTTATTTATAAGAAGGTTAGTTTGTCTCCCTCCTGTGCTATGAGTGATCACTCCCCTATTAGGAAGGGAAGACAGAAGCCTTCTCCCTGTTGCTTCACTCTGACTGACAGCATCAGTTCCAGAGAAGGCCAGATATCAGAAAGGAATCATCACAAGACTGGGTCATGCTTGCTTGCCCAATGTTGTCTAGGGGGAAGTGAGAGCCCGAGAGGTGAAGGTGAAGTCCAGAGAAAATGTATGTCTTAGAAAGCATAAGGCCTGGCAGCCAGCCCAACTCTCTCTTTTCTAAGTAACCTTGGCCAAGTCACTTCACTTCTCTCACTGTCATTGCCTCGAACTTCAGAATTGCCATAGGCATCACTGCCCACAGGAGGCAAGACAGAACTAGCTGTCTGAACCTGATTGGCTGCTTCAACAAAACAAAACAAATATTCTCCTGAGGATTCTAACAGAACCCAGAGCCTAACTAACACATCATTCAAAATGTACAGGCTGCAACCTAAGATTATGTGACAAAGATATCACCTCTTGGTTGACGAGAGTGCTAGAATTCTGATCATCTTTTCAAAAGTAAAGCAGTACAAAGAGAAGCTCATGACAAGAGTTGGGCCTTTTTTTGTAGGAAACTCAAACGCTTATAACTGCTAACATTTAGTGGGCATCTATTTGTGCCGTTGCTATTTGAAGGGGCTCAAATATATGACCTCCCTACGTGCTAACCCTCACCTAGCCCTTTGAAGTCGGAACCAGTGCCATCCCCACGATGCACAGGGGCTGGAGGTGTAGAAGTCAGATAACTTCCTGGATGGTGGAGATGAAATGCATGCCTGGTTATCTCTGCTGCAAACAAGTCAGCAGACGGCATGACGGGCCTCCCTCTGCACAAGAACAAACTGAGTTGCTTTTCCTTTATGTGCTGAAGCACTTTCCTTTGGC